TCATTACCAGTTCGAACCCCCCCCCTCCCCCCGCGATGGGTTCAGAATCCTTCAGAACCTTTCAGAACCTCTCAGAACCTCCCAGAATCCCTCAGAATCTCTCAGAATCTCTCAGAATCTTTCAGAATCTCTCAGAACCTCTCAGAACCTCTCAGAACCTCTCAGAATCTTTCAGAATCTCTCAGAATCTTTCAGAATCTCTCAGAATCTTTCAGAATCTCTCAGAATCTCTCAGAATATTTCAGAAGTTCTCAGAACCTTGCAGAGGCTTGGAGCTTTTCAGAGGCTCCAAAGTGGTTGGGATCTCACGCGTCCCACGTGTCCTTGACGGTTGGGATCTGAGACGTCCGGTTGGGATCTCACGCGTCCGGTTGGGATCTGAACCTTTCTCCCCTCCCCCCCCCTCGAAAACCGGGAGGGGTCACTACCGGTTCGAACCCCCCCCCCTCGCCGCCGGCAAACGATTCCCGCTCCTCGGGACAGTTGGACAATGGTGGGGATGCTGGGACAGTGGTGGGAACAGTGGTGGTGGGGACTGGTGCGGGGACAGTGGGACAGTGGTGGGGACAGTGGCGAGGGGACAGCGGGACAGTGGGGACAGTGGGACAGTGGTGGGGACGGTAGTGGTGAGGACAGTGGTGAAGGCGGTGGTGAGGACAGTGGTGGGACAGTAGTACAGTGGGGAAAGTGGCGGGGACACTGGGGACAGTGGGACAGTGATAGGGGACAGAAGGGACGGTGGGACAGTGGTGCGGACAGTGGTGGGGACAGTGGTGAGGGGACAGCGGGACAATGGTGGGGACAGTGGGACATTGGTGGGGATTGTAGTGGTGGGGACAGTGGTAAAGGCGGAGGTGAGGACACTGGTGGGACAGTAGTACAGTGGGTAAAGTGGTGGGGACAGTGGGGACACTGGGACAGTGATGGGGACAGTGGGGACGGTGGGACAGCACAGTGGGACAGCGGCGGGGACAGTTGGACAGTGATGGGTACGGTGGGGACAGTGGGACAGTGGTGGGGACCGTGGGGAAAGTGGGGAGAGTGGACCGTGATGGGACAATGGGTGGGGGAGTGGGGACAGTGAGACACTGGTGGGGGCACTGGTGGGGACAGCGGGGACAATGGTGGGAACAGTGGGGACAGTGGGACAGTGGTGGGGACGGTGGTGGTGGGGACAGCGGTGTGGAGACAGTGGGAATGTGGTGGAAACAGTGGGACAGTGGAGGGTACAGTGGTGGTGGGGACAGTGGTGAGGGCGGTGGCGAGGACGGTGGTGGGACAATGGGACAGCGGTACAGTGGGGACAGTGGTGGGGACAGTGGGGACAGTGGTGGGAACAGTGGGACAGCTCAGTGGGACAGCGGCGGGGACAATGGGGACAGTGGGACAGTGGTTGGGGCCGTGGAGACAGTGGGGAGAGTGGAACCGTGGTGGGGGCAGTGGGGACAGTGCGACAGTGGTGGGGGCACTGGTGGGGACAGTGGGGACGGTGGTGGGAACAGCGGGGACAGTGGCGCTGGGGACAGCAGTGGGGGATGTGGTGCGGACGGTGGCAGGGACCCGGGAGTCGCTTGCTGGCGGTGAGCGTGGGGGGGGGAAGGGGTTCGAACTGGTAGTGCCCCCCCCCCCCGGTTTTCCAGAGGGGGGGGAGGTTTCGAACCAGTAGTGACCCCCCCCGGATTTCCGGAGAGGGGGGGGGGAAGGGGGGTTCGAGCCGGTAGTGGACCCCCCCCGGTTTTTCTGGAGGGGGGGGGGGGGTTCGAACTGGTAGTGGCCCCCCTCTGGCTTTCTGGAAAAATTGGGGGGGGGGGAGGGGTTCGAACCGGTAGTGACCCCCCCCGTTTTTCCGGAAGGGAAAGGGGGGGGGAGGGTTTGAACAGTTAGTGACCCCCCCCCCCCCCCGGTTTCGGGGGCGGGTTAGGAAGAGGAGGGGGTCTTGCCGGGAGGAGGGGGGTGCTCCAGCAGGGGGGGGGGGGGGGGATTTTCGGAGGGGGGGGGACCCCCGGGTGGGTTCCGGAGGAAGAGGGGCGGGGGGGGGGGGGGGGGAATTTCCACAGTAAAGCGGCGGTGGATCACGCTCTCTCTAATCTAGTAACGCTGCTATGGTGGCTGAAAGGGTCCCTTTGACTAGCTGCCACCCCTTGCCAGCTCCTTCGGGTGTTGACCGAGCCCTCCGTCAGGCAATCTGAAGTGCCTGTCTGCGGTTGCTCGTCAGATCTGGCAGCATTGCAATCCACTCCTTGGAAAGTCGATGGCGTCCAGAAACTAGCGGGTCCTCGTGGCCAGAAGGGAAGGTCGCTCGAATCGTGGTCGTCGCGCATCCGCCTTCCCTTCTGCCCAGCATCCCACTCACCTGCGCACGCATGCGAAGAAGGAATGAAGGTGCAATTCCTTGCGCCTCTATCCCCCAGGCCGCCTGCGGCAAATATCTTGTCTTAACTAGAGCTGTGGCCTTGCGCTCTTGACCACTCATTCACCTCCTCCTCAGCCTCTTCTTCCT